AAGGTCGATGTGATGGGGGTGATGTGATGGGGTTACCTTGGGGAGGCTGTGACGATATCGTGGTTGTAGTGATGGTAGGATGGTGGTAATGGTAGTGACGGTGGTGTGGTGGTGGTAATGGTGATAGTGGTTATAGTGGCACAGTGGTGGTAATATGGCTGTGTGGGAGAATGGCGATGATACCAGTGACACAGAAACGATATACATGCATTCCAGTGGCACATGAAGTATATGACTGTCGTACACAGACGAGATGCATACATACCCGTAGTACACAGGCGGGATACATCCATACAAATAGAATACAGACGGGATACATACCTACATACCAGTATTACACAGCTGGTATGAAAATCAATAACACACATGTGGAGTTCATCTCAAAAAGATAAACAATGGAAAAGCTCAACACATAAGGGAACAACGACGAAAAATTAACACCAAATTTCCAGAAGAATCAATTCCAGAACCACGAAGTGGCCAAAAGTAACTGAACTAACACCAGGGGGCTCAAGTCCAGGGGCTTGGATTCATCAAGCACTTATTTACGCAGCCACTTGCGAAACCTGTGCATCTTTCAACAATCATGGCTGCTTGGTTTAACTTATTTAAACAGTTTATCAGCTCCGAGTCACAACGAGGTGATTTACAACAACAGTAACGTTGGTGGATGAAGTCTGAAGCTCGTCAACTGTTTTCCTAAATGCAAACAAGATCCGCCATGAGTACTTAAAAGATGCACAGGTTTCGTAAGTGGATGCATATAAGCTTGACAGATTCCTGGCCCAGGTGGGGGGAAAGGGGGAAGGGGTGAAAGGGGGGAAAGGAGGAAGAAGGGGGGAAAGAGAGCCGAAACGACAGAGGCCGTGTCAGAGAAGAGCAAAACGAGAGATGCATGAGCGAAGCATGGGAGTATTACAATGTGTACGCGAGCACAATGGCTGCTCGCAGACATGGGGTGGGGGGTACATGGCTTGGGGTAGGGGTGGAGGGTTAGGAAGGGCTACGAGAGGAGGAGGGAGGGGGACATGGCCGGGTGTGTGGGGGGGAGGGGGTGGGGGTGGGGGGTTAGGAGGGCTGTGAGAGGGGGGTACAGAGACTAAGAGACTGGGACACACATAGGAACACGGGAGAGTAAGTGAGGCGGGATAAAGCATAGAAGGGGAGGAGAGGGATAGGAGGGAGGGGGGGGGGGGTATGGGACTATGTAAGAATGCACAGGCTGAATGGAACGTGGTAATTTGTGATGCAGGTACGGATGAAAGTGTGTGTGAGAGAGAGAGAGAGAGAGAGAGAGAGAGAGAGAGAGAGAGAGAGAGAGAGAGAGAGAGAGAGAGAGAGAGAGAGAGAGAGAGAGAGAGAGAGAGAGAGAGAGTAGGAAAGTATGGGAGACGGGACGTGGAAGAAAGGGTGAGAGTTTGTAAAGTATAATCAGGCAGAAGGTACCCTATGCAAGTCTATAGGAGAGACGAGAATTAAACATTCGAGTATATTATATAATATGATAGAGAGGCCTATGGAACTGCAAGTTTGTTGAGTAGAGCCTAAAACCTGAGAAATATTACGTACCCCTTCCCCCTTACGTCAACGCTGCTCCATAAACAAACCTTACCTAACCTAACTTAACCTAACCTAACCTAACTTAACCTAACCTAACCTAACCTAACCTAACCTAACCTAACCTAACCTATGTTGAAGGACAAAGTGTGTGGAGATATGGCAGGATCAGAGAAGGAATGACGTAGAGAGCGAAAAAAGGCAGAGTAGGGAGTGAGTGAGTGAGGGGGAGTGTGTACGAGAGGGGTACTGGACTGTGTTTGAGAGGGTAGGGTAGTCTATTGACTAGCGAGTGAGAGGTACTGGTGGGGTGTGACAAGAGTGTGTTTGAGGGGGGACAGGCTAGCGACTGTTACACATACTGGCTAGTGCGAGATACTGAAGTATGTTTGTGTGTGTGTGTGTGTGTGTGTGTGTGTGTGTGTGTGTGTGTGTACTCACCTAGTTTTGCTTGCGAGGGTTGAGCTCTGGCTCTTTGGTCCCGCCTCTCAACTGTCCATCAACTGGTGTACAGATTCCTGAGCCTACTGGGCTCTATCATATCTACATTTGAAACTGTGTATGGACTCAGCCTCCACCACATCACTGCTCAATGCATTCCATCTATTAACAAATCTGACACTGACAAAGTTCTTTCTAACGTCCCTGTGGCTCATTTGGGTGCTCAGTTTCCACCTGTTCGCGTACCACCCGTGTTAAACAGTTTATCTTTATCTAACCTGTCAATTCCTCTGAGAATTTTGTAGGTAGTGATCATGTCTCCCCTTACTCTACTGTCTTCCAGTGTCGTGAGGTGCATTTCCCGCAGCCTTTCCTCGTAACTCATGCCTCTTAGTTCTGGGACTAGCCTAGTGGCATACCTCTGAACTTTTTCAAGCTTCGTCTTATGCTTGACAAGGTATGGGCACCATGCTGGGGCCGCATACTCCAGGATTGGTCTTACATACGTGGTGTACAAGGTTCAAGTTCAAGTACAAGGTGTGTGTGTGTGTGTGTGTGTCTGTGTGAGAGAGAAAGAGAGGGAAGAAAAGAGAAGAGAATAGCAAAGCAGAGCAGAGAAGAGGGAGAGGGAGAGAGAGAGATAGAGAGAGAGAGAGAGAGAGAGAGAGAGAGAGAGAGAGAGAGAGAGAGAGAGAGAGAGAGAGAGAGAGAGAGAGAGAGAGAGAGAGAGAGAGAGAGAGAGAGAGAGAGAGAGAGAGAGAGAGAGAGAGAGAGAGAGAGAGAGGTGAGAGAGAGAGAGAGAGAGAGAGAGAGAGAGAGAGAGAGAGAGAGAGAGAGAGAGAGAGAGAGAGAGAGAGAGAGAGAGAGAGAGAGAGAGAGAGGGAGAGAGAGAGAGAGAGAGAATATCTCCAGGTAGTGGGCGTCGCTACCCAGCCAACTGATGGCAGGACCCACACGAGCGTTGCAGAGCATGTGGGCGGAGGACCGACACCACACAACTCCCTCCGACTCTTTCTCCCACAAAATTAATCCACAGTTTTCCCCCTGCCTCCTCCACAGTTCCTCCCCACACGCTCACACACCCACCTAGGCCTCACCAGCAGCGAGGACCAGAATATCAATAGAGTTGACAAAGCCCGGATATATTGAGTAGGAAGCGAGAGTTGAGTTGGTCTAGCTGGCAACTGAGGCCGCCTGTAAGGTAAGACCAGGGCCACTGGCTATCTTCGGAGGCTCCCTAATAAGACCACGTCCATGCTGCGACACTCCTCCCCCACTCATCCATCTCTTCCTCCCCGCCCCTCTAATCAAACTCCCCTTCCCTCAAATTCCCCTTTTCTCCCACTAATTCATAGATAATCTCACCCTCTCGTTACCCCTTTTACTCGCCTGACTTCTGCAGTAATGCCTTCGTTTCTGCAGTACATCGAAGCAGCGTTTCTCGCTCCCTTACTCTCCAGTCTTCTCCCTCTCTGCCCCGGGTCCCCGCTCGAATGACCTGACCGGTGGAACAAAAAACTGAGTCGAGTAATTCTCACCTCCCAAAGTAGAAACCTAATTATGATACATTTCTCTACTTCCCCTTCCTCCCTTGTTTTCTCACCCCTTACCTCTATCCCGGCCCTCATTCTTTACTCCCCTTCCTCCTTCATACTCTCTATTCTCTTCGTTCCTGCCTCCTTTCCTATTGACGTCTGGTTCCCGACCTATCGGAGCACTGATATCAAGGTTTCAGTGGCCTTTTTTTGCTCCCGCCTCTGAGTTCCGTTCCAGGATCTCCTCAGCCATCGGTTCTTCAATCTCCATTGTATGCTTATCACTAATGCATAATGCAGTTTGATTCCCGCGCTTGTCCTTACCATACACAGAGCTGTGTTGATTGATCAAGGCGATGTGAGCTCGCACAAGTCATGTCTGGAAACAAAGGCTCCACTGGTGCAAATGACTACAGGTGTTACTATTGATGATCTTGTTGGCACTGACGTCCGAGGTAATTATTTTCAAAGCTCATGGGTTCGATATCTTGCAGGCGTACATGTGTTCGATGCCTTGCAGGCGTACATGTGTTCGATGCCTTGCAGGCGTACATGTGTTCGATGCCTTGCAGGCGTACATGTGTTCGATACCTTGCAGGCGTACATGTGTTCGATACCTTGCAGGCGTACATGTGTTCGATACCTTGCAGGCGTACATGTGTTCGATACCTGTCAGGCGTACATGTGTTCGATACCTTGCAGGCGTACATGTGTTCGATACCTTGCAGGCGTACATGTGTTCGATACCTTGCAGGCGTACATGTGTTCGATACCTTGCAGGCGTACATGTGTTCGATACCTTGCAGGCGTACATGTGTTCGATACCTTGCAGGCGTACATGTGTTCGATACCTTGCAGGCGTACATGTGTTCGATACCTTGCAGGCGTACATGTGTTCGATACCTTGCAGGCGTACATGTGTTCGATACCTTGCAGGCGTACATGTGTTCGATACCTTGCAGGCGTACATGTGTTCGATACCTTGCAGGCGTACATGTGTTCGATACCTTGCAGGCGTACATGTGTTCGATACCTTGCAGGCGTACATGTGTTCGATACCTTGCAGGCGTACATGTGTTCGTGTGGCCAGTGACGTGTGCGTCGCTGAGCGGGAAGGTGGTCGTCGTTTCTGCAGGTGTCCAAGTCGACCGACTCTCTCGTGTCCACGGAAACTGGTCTAGCCAGTTTAAGCGTCAAATCTTAAGTGTTCGCGCTAATGATCTCGCAGGTGTCAACGTCAGCGGTCTCCCATCAGCCAACACGTTTAGGCAATGCCCAGATCAACGACCTGGCCGGTGAACTTCTTATTAACTAGGTTACCTCATAGCCATTAGGATTTCTACGGATGTATACACGGAGTGTGTTGCCACGTCAACTACCTCACATGTGCCATTGTCAACAGCACGCTGGCGGTAGCACAAGGCTTAACCATCTATGGCTCCCCTACAATAGCCCCCTACACAGTGCATGTCAACACCCCCAGCATGTGTCCATTGCAAAAGCCGTACACAGTACCCGCGTCAACACCCGCAGCAGCCGCCCGCGTCAACACCCGCAGCAGCCGCCCGCGTCAACACCCGCAGCAGCCGCCCGCGTCAACACCCGCAGCAGCCGCCCGCGTCAACACCCGCAGCAGCCGCCCGCGTCAACACCCGCAGCAGCCGCCCGCGTCAACACCCGCAGCAGCCGCCCGCGTCAACACCATCAGCAGCAGCCGCCCGCGTCAACACCATCAGCAGCCGCCCGCGTCAACACCCGCAGCAGCCGCCCGCGTCAACACCCGTAGCAGCAGCCGCCCGCGTCAACACCCGCAGCAGCCGCCCGCGTCAACACCCGCAGCAGCCGCCCGCGTCAACACCCGCAGCAGCCGCCCGCGTCAACACCATCAGCAGCCGCCCGCGTCAACACCCGCAGCAGCCGCCCGCGTCAACACCCGCAGCAGCCGCCCGCGTCAACACCAGCAGCAGCCGCGCGCGTCAACACCAGCAGCAGCCGCGCGCGTCAACAACCGCAGCAGCCGCCGCGCGCGTCAACACCAGCAGCAGCCGCCCGCGTCAACACCCGCAGCAGCCGCCCGCGTCAACGCCAGCAGCAGCCGCCCGCGTCAACAACCGCAGCAGCCGCCCGCGTCAACACCCGCAGCAGCCGCCCGCGTCAACGCCCTCACCAGGTGTCCCCGCTAACGACCCCCAAAGGTAAACAAGTCCGTGACCCCCATATGATAATGTCAAAGTTACGATTCCCTTTTACGTTCTTGCCTTTCAGAAATCTATATTTTCTAGGAGTGAGTCAACGTCTACAACTCGACCATATCGCGGTGTCTTGTTTTGTATTGTATTTGCTGCATTATTGTATAGTGGAAGAATTGTTGTATCAGGTATGGTGACAGTTTTTGTTATGCTTCTTGCAGGTCGGCGTTCGATCCCCGACGGTCAAAGTGACATGGGCAGCGTCCCTCCACTCCGTCTTCCTCGCAAGTACTCCCTCCCTCGCAAACACTCCCTCCTTCCCTCGCAAGCACTCCCTCCCTCCCTCGCAAGCACTCCCTCCCTCCCTCCCAGACTCTGCCCCTCGGTACTCTGGATACAGTAATTAGCCGGGGTGTGTCGCCCTCGTTAGACTTGAGTATTGTTGCATATAAGGGAGCAACACGGCTAACATTTGCCGTGTGTGCTACGCACCAGGATTCCTTACATTCGTCTGTAATTTGAGCGGAGAAAGAATGAGGAGTAACGATGGGTCAGGTGATGAATGAAGCGAGGGTGAACAGGTTGGTCAGGTGATGGTGTTGAGGGGAGAGGTGATGGCCAAGATGGTGAGGATTGGGTCGTGAGGCGGTGAATGCGGGCTAGGTAGAGAGGCGATGAGTGAGGGGGCCACGGGTGATGGTTGAGGATCAAGCCGGCTATAGTTGAGGGGTGTGCGGTAAGATGATGTGCGTGATAGCACGGGCCGGGGAAGGCGTTGGTATGGAGCTCAGAGATCGGGAGATGGGATGGTAGCATGGGGTCCATCCTACCCCTCTATCCATCTCACTAGACCACCGCTTGATTGACGCATACGGACTCACACGGGGGACACTCACTTACTCACCCCATTCACTAGCACACACTCACTCATTCACTAACAAACACTCGCTAATACAGTCACTCACTTACTCACCCATGCACTGATAAACCCGCCCATATATTCACTCACTCAACTATTCACTAGCACTCATAAATTCGCCCATTCTCTCAGTCACCCACCCACTCCCACTCACTCATTCTCCAACACGCACTCGCATATACGTACACTCACTCACACAGCCATTCTCTCCCCCCCCCACACACTAGCTCATTGACACCCACACGTCTTGATAACAATATCCTTGATATCTCCCCTTCTGCTTCACTTCAGACGATGGTAAACATCCACCTTCAGAAGGATCAACACCCCCTAGGGTTCTCCTCTGCCCCCCCTCCCTTCCTTCCCTCTCTCCTTCCCTCACTATCCCCCTCCCTCAGTCTCTCCCCTCCACCCCAACCCCTCAAACAGCTCACATAAATCGCTGACCCTTGCAGATACTCACTTGCCCACAGACACACATATGCATAAGCAAGTCTGAAAGCCTCGCGCACTCACACACACACACCAACGTATATACACACCACGCTAACACAAGCTTCAACAACATCCTTTCTACATACATTTGCATACACAGACACCGCAGGGAGAGGAAAAAAAATAGCCACGGTGACACACGCACACATACATACACCGCTCCAAAATGGATACATATTAACACGATAAGGCACTTTCTTGATTCTTGGGGAGGGGGAGGGAGGGTTGGGATGAAATATACTCAGATACACATACACATTCCATGACTAAGCTGTTCGCATTCACCAGAAGATTATACACTTATACATCATACAGTATTATGTTGGCATACAAACAGGGGGGGGGCGGGGCTGCCACTGTGTCTTCGCCGGCTTGCACAACGTTGTTTTTTTTGCTCCGTTTTAAAACCATCATAAACATTTGGGCGAGTCCTTGGCCTTTCCTGAGGCTGTTCTGTAGCGTCACTCCCTCCCTCCCTCCCTCTACCTGGATACCCTCATCCTTACCTCTCTATTCCTCTATCATTCTCCATCCTCATCTTCATTCCTTTCCTCTCTACCCCCTCTCTTGTGATCCCTAACCATTTAATTTACAACTTCCCTCTACCCCCCTTCCTTTACTCTCTCTCTCATATCCTTCTTCTACCTGGATTCCTCTATATTTCCTTCCGTTCCTCTCTACTTCTCCCACCTCTTCCCCCCCCCCTTCCCTTTACCAGACTTCCACTCTACCCCCTTTTTATCTCTTCCTCACCCTCTCCCAAAACTCTCTTTCTCCTTTTGCCCGTTTTTTTCCCTCTCCTTACTCTACCCCTTTCCCTGGTTTGTCACCTCCTTCCCTCCCTGTCCTTATACTTCCTTCCCTCTCTACTTCCTTCTCTCCCTACTTCCCACCATCCCTACTTTCCTCCCTCCCAACTTCTCATCCTCACTCACTACTCCCCCTTCCTCTATACTTTCCTTTATTATATTTAATAATTCCCTCCTGATTACTGCTTTTTCCGCCAGCTTATATCCCCTCAGCTCCATTCTTGTTTATATATATCTTCCCTCTATGTGTGGCTTAGTCCAATCCTGGAATGGAATGGAACTATCAGGGGGGGAAAGCGCCAAGCCATTACGGGTAATGTAAGGAATGAGGAGGCCTTATCCTGACCCCTTGCACTTGCAAGGGGTCAGGATAAGGTTTCGGGATGGGACAGGGGAAAGGAATTGTGTCCAACCATTTGGACGGTCGGGGATATTAAGCTCCAATCCTGGAGCTAAATATTGTATCTTATGCCTCACTAACGTCTAACTAGCAAAATACAAGCAAGAGACGAAGGAGTGTCCTAAGCAGAAGTTCAAGGAAAACGCAAAGGAAGAGCAATTTAATCAATTCGATCGAATGAGCAAAAAATTATAAAATGAAAGGAAGGAGGAGGAGGAGGAGTAGAACATATCTAAAAGTTTTCCGGTTAGAAAGAAACGCAAAAAAAAGAGGAAAACAAGGAAACAATTTACCGTTGAAGCCTTCACGTTGGAGAGATTAACTAGGCACAATGCAAGAGAGCAGGAGATATACGCGCGCGCGTCGGGTCATGTAACAAAGTACCATAAGGCTCAGATTGCATACACTGTTCACCAGTGAAAAAAAAATAAGTAAGCTTCAGAACGTGAATTTTATCTAACTGTTTTCCGGTGCATATACCACTGATGGAGGCGTGGAGGATAGACAGGGAGTAGTAAACAGGCCGGTTGGTTAGTTGGTACATGTGATAGATATAAATATAATAGTTTACAAGGTATGTAAAAACGGAGGTAGGCAAACAAGAGAGGTAGTTTGGTAGAGAGATACGGAGGTATGGAGATAGGAAGAAGGGAGGTATACAGAAAAGTGGATAGGTATTCCAGTAAATAAGAATGTGGATAGATTAGTAAGCAAATATTAAGTATGGATAAAGGTAGATATATATATATATATATATATATATATATATATATATATATATATATATATATATATATATATATATATAAATACTGAAGTAGATGATAGTAGCCGATGGGTCACAATAACGTGGCTAAAGTAATTTGACCAGACCACACACTAGAAGGTGAAGGGACGACGACGTTTCGGTCCGTCCTGGACCATTCTGAAGTCGATTGTGTGACTGGTCCAGGACGGACCGAAACGTCGTCGTCCCTTCACCTTCTAGTGTGTGGTCTGGTCAAAATAGATGATAGTAGATACTAGAGCAGGTAGGAGAGGCATTTACTGAAATGGATAATGGTAAATACTGCTATAGTTAAAATATAACAATTAAATAAGCTACTTATTACACTACGTTACATGCCTAAGGTATTTGCTATAAGCTATTAAATACTGTACTACAACATAATTATGTACACTCTAGAATATACTTATTTATTACTTAAATAAAACTACAAAACAACAATTAATAAGCACTTAAAGTTCCCTGAGAGCACAATACCTGCTTAAAACGTTTTGCCCTGACCTAAAAGTTAGTTAAACTAGATAACCAATTGCCAATTCAAGAGAATTAAAGGGCTAAAAGCTCCTTTAAAATAGCTGACCTAAAAATTGGCCAACTACTAATAATTAAGAGCCACTTAAAAATAACTTAAAAGCCTAAAAGGTGCTTGAAACTTTGCGAACTGACCTATAAATCTGTCAAAGCCCCCCACACCTAAAATCAGTCCTAGTATCTATTTAAAAACTAATCACAGCACATAAATATCTGCCAATAAAAAGGTAGTAAATGATCATTACGTATACCAATTTTATTAGTAACTTTCTGCTTAGATCATCTAAAATAATTAGGTGATAATCTATATTCATTTCATGTGATTAGGATTATCTATAATTATAACTAATTATCAGAAAGTATTATCAGTAATCATCTATTACGATTATTTTTAGTTTCCCCAAGCAATATAAAATTATTTCAATAATTCATATATAGCCATTACTTATAGGGCAAATAATTTTCTTAATAATCAACACATATATATTGGCTTCATATAATCACTAATCATTAATAATATAAATAATAAAGTTTTCACATCTGCTTAAAGTTTTATACATTATATATAAATGTTATTAAGATCTTAAAGTTATTACTGATAATGAATTCTGGTTATTACAAACTTTAAAAAAATACTGATTACCTTATCTTTAAAGAATAACCTAACTATAGTTATTAAATGTAATTATCTTTATATATATATATATATATATATATATATATATATATATATATATATATATATATATATATATATATATATATATATATATATATATATATATATATATATATATATATATATATATATGCGGAAAATCCACAGAGAAATATGAAATGAGGTGAACGTTTCGGCTTTGTTAAAGCCTTTGTCAACACCAGACTGACCAATGTAACGGTTCTATTGTTACGTAAAGTATGGTGACAAATAAACACAGACACTAAGATACTATATATATATTTGGTCGAATATACAGAAGTACACAGGTGATACGTTGGTGTGAGTTGAGCGCACTGAGCGTTGGTACAGTATCTCGCAAGTGTCTGCTCTAGACCACACTTGAAAGTA